CGCTACAGCAGCGGCAGGCCAATGTTTACTACGTACTTAATATTGTGCAAGTGACTTAATTTGTCTCCTGGAAAGCGTCTCTACATACTGAACCCTGCTTCAGTGAATGTTGCTGTCTGGTCACAGTTTTGAAGAGACCCTTGTAACTGGTGTCAGAGGCAAGTCTGAAATCCCAATGTAGCATCGGGGTGTCCATCTAGTTAGAAAAGGCCTGAAGTAATGGAAGCAGCGGTCCTTACTTGACCCTTTCATTACTCTAAATATTTTTTCAAATTAAAAAAAAAATAGAGCTAGATCAAGCAAATGCAAAGAAAACTTTTAGTTTGTTTTTGTAATTCAGAAGAATGACAAATAGGAATCAAGGTCTTGTTAAAAGGGCAATGGTTAAATGAAATACCGTGATCCCCAGTACCTGGCCCAAAAGAACTCGCATGACAAACTGAAGCCTAGGAAAGGAACCAATACAACAAAAGTAAGGAAAGTGTTAAACAATTTACCAGGGCACCATAAGTCACAGGTTTACACGGGTGGTTAATTTGCTAATCAAAAATATGGCATAGCCTTGATGGCTTGTTTCCTTGAAAATGAGACGTTGGAAACTCATGCCTTAAAAAGCTTTTTGCCAGAATGTGTTTGCTAGTAAATCAGAGACATAGCCGAAAAGAAATTAATTCTAAATTCAGTATCGTACCAATAAGTCTAAAATTTGGCATATTTTAATATGGTTAAAAGATTGTTGGGTCCCATTTATTGTACAGACTAAACCTTCTACAGCTGTTGAAACAGCTGAGTTGCCGTCATGAGCTGTTGATTTTGCATCATGCGAAACGTAATAAGTTGTACAGTGGAAATGATACAGTGGCACCTCAACAAGTTTTACAGGCTTTACAATCCTGGCTCCTTAATGGTGTAACTTTAGTTGAACTACATGAAGCTGAAAAGCTGAAGCAGTTTTTGTTTGGTTGGTTTTTTGTTTGTTTGTGGGTGAAAAGGAAGTGTTACTGGTCATCTTGTTCCTGAAAGGAGTTACGATTAGTCTTAAAGTCAGAAATACCAAAAGAAATGCGCTGTTGGAAGCCAAATCTAAAGTCCATTCAAGCAGCTGTCAGTAATAAATAGTGTACAGGTACTGGTTTAAGGTGCTACTTCTCAGGGAAGTAAATAGCTATTAGCAGTGTTTGTGATTAAAGCATAGATTTACAAATACACCTCATGTTGTTTTTCCCCCTTGATCTATTTGGTAGTGATGATCCAAATTTATCAACGTGAGACTGCGTACCTGTGCTTCTCTGCAAGTTGTTCTTGGCTTTCATTTGAACTAACGCAAAGTTTTATTGTCTTCTGCAATAAGTCTCAGATGTTTAATTCTATGACCACGTATTGCCTTAATGGTCCAATGCAGTAAGAATTCTTCTTTCAAATCCATTTCATTTGGCCAGTGAATACCTTGAAATGTGAATAATCTTTCGCTGTATTGCATTCATTTTTATATTTCCCATGTTCTTTGATTTGTGCAGCTAAGGTGTATACTGTTTTAGAAACATGCCATGAGTAACTCCCAGGTCCTCATCAGGGCATCTGGCTGGTTAGCATTCACAGGATTTTTTTTCCTGCCATTACATGTTTTATAACCTGGCTAATGGCCTCGAAACTCCCTGCCCAACTGGTTGGCAACATGGGGGATGATCTCTGTTCCTGGTCCCCAAGCCCCTCTATTAAAAATGGGACTAAAATAGTTACTGGCAGGAAACAGAAACCTTCTACACAAATTAAATAATGCTGGGGGATTACACATGTTTCTATCAAACTGTCATTTTCCATGGGATAGATAGGGTGCTGCTCTTCTCACAGGAAGCACCCCTGTGTGCGGAGGGGTGCAGGGTGATGGGGCACTGGTGCCTGGTGCAGAGCAGGATGGGGGCCTTGCTCCAGCCTGCTCTTCTGATTCTGTTCTGGCAAAGGGCTCCGTCCCCTCCTGCTGGCACCTCGAAGCGTATCCTGTATTTCAGCGTTCTTTCTGAAGGTTCAAGCCTCGTGCCATGCTTGAATGTCTAGCTGACCCTAAATCAGAGTGTTAGTTAATTACAAAGTTGAAGATGCTTCCCTTCTGAATCCTGCTTGCTATGGTCATGTGTATGAAAAAAAGGAAAGGCTTTGTGGGTTTAATAGCTGACAAGTACTCCTGAGCAATTCTAAACCTACTAAACATATTGTTCAAGTGATTTAACAGGTAATTAGCAAGCAAGTAACTACCCAAACTCATATGTAGTGCCTTAACAGTGAAATACCTTTTTTTTTTTTTACCAGAATGTCATACCCGGGTTATCCCCCTTCTGGCGGCTACCCTGCTTTTCCTGGTTATCCTGTAAGTATGGCTCTTGAATGTGTTGCATTCCTAATGTATTTATATTCTGAGAATACCCTTTCTTACTGTGCTCTGTGTGTATGTAAACAGTAGCTGTCAGTTCATATACAGCATTCTCTAGAGATTATGGCATTTGTTTTTGTCTATATATCCCTGAGGACGACTTTACAGTTGTCTCATAAGAATTCCAAGAAGAAACTTTTAAGATTTTTTTTTTTATGTTGCCTATTGTTCCAGAAAGGTTTTTGATTGTTTGGTTTTGTTTTAGTTTATCTTTGTCTTGTGAGCTTGTTTTTTTTAATGTAGCTAACTATATCAGCAATAATTTTTTTAAAGTATCAGTAGTTCTTACGTAAGTATGAGGGTCTTTATGTATGGGATCAGAGGTAATCTCTGAACTGGTCTCTACCAAATACTCTATGTACCCATACCCCAGGATTTACAGAGATGCTTATGCATCAGTGACCATTACCATCAGGAAGAGCTTGGAATGCTTTACTCAAGTAGCCCAGCTTTCATATGACACCAAGTAAATATTTTTCTGAGGATAAAGGACACCCTATCTTGACTTTGACCCCCTATCCTTCAGCCGCAGGACTTTGTTCCACCTTCAGCTCATGACTGAATGGACTAAAAAATTCCAGTGAAACTTGCTGGAATGTGTCAGGTGTGGCTGACACTACAGGCTCTTTGATACACCTGCATCATTTTTCAAAGCTAGATGCAACTGTGTGCTTTTATTATTATGGCACTGATCATACCGTAATTGTGGGAATTTTATATGCTCTGTGTTTGACAGAACTAGACTTAAGCACGGAGCTCAGCCTGGATCCCATTGAGATACTGAAAAGCTATAAATACATGCAATAAATTCTCCAACTATTTTGCTTTACAATTTATCCTTATTCCCTCTGAAACACTAAAGTCAGTCAAACTAAAGACAAACATGTTAGAAACCAGACTTTGTTAATGCCAGGATTTCTCCTCCCCGCTCAAGGTTCTGCTGAACCCTCACAATTGTAGCTGTAATTTATTTTTAACTACATCTGAAAACCTTTTTTTTCTTAGCTAGCATCTAAAATATAGCCAGCTTCAATGGATTAGTTTAACAGACCCTTTAGATTTGCTATCAATGATCCTACATTTCCTTGTTTCATCAATGATGCCCAGCGATAACCAGTGCAAAAAACCAATGTGAAATTATTTTCTTCTGCAATAGTGATAGATATCTGGGCAGGGCTTTTGAGGATCCTAATTTTGGATTTGTGCCTCTAAATTCCGTTAAAATCTTTTTGGTTAGACTGTACCGCTGGGAAAGAGAGTATTATATAGCCTGGGCACAATAATCTGGGGGTAGAAATCTTGGGGCAACCAAACTCAAGGAGAACGTCTGAGTTAGACTTTACTGCTTTGTAGTTTATTTCTGTTTTCTGGGCTCAAGACTAAGTGTGTACTGTATGTAATGTGTGACCCATATTTCTAAAGCTAGCTGGTAAAAGAAGGAGGAGTATGTAAGAAGGAGTGATAGAGACATTGGAGCCAGACTCTACTCAGAGGTACACAGTGAAAGGGCAGCTGGCAGCAACCACAGGCTGCAATTGTAATTTGATTTGAGGAGAACATTTTTCACCATGAGGGTAGTCACACATTGGAACAGGGGCCCATAGAGGCTGTGGATTCGCTGTTCCTTGGAGACACTGAAAACTTGACAAGGCCTTGCGTGACCTCATCTGACTCTGAAGCTGGCCCTGCTTTGAAGGTCGATGGGATCAGAGGCCGACCAAAAGTGCCTTCCACCCTGTGGCACTCTCTGATTCTGTGTCAACATGGGAAACGTGCCAGAAAACCCAACCAGGAGGCCCTCATCCAGGCTTCAGGAATTCTGCTGCTGCTGCTTCGAGTGCTGAATCTAATCATACCATTCACATTATTATACACATAGACATTTTGGTAGCTTGAGAGGTTTTACACTAACATCCTGGTAGCAGGCGTACAGACATCTCATTTTTGTGTTTCAGCCGACGGGACAAGAGTCTGTCTATCCGCCAGCTGGTCAGTACTCCTATCCCCCTGCTCCTGGAGGATACCCTCCGGCAGGAGGAGGGACCTATCCTGCAGCACCACCCAGTACTGGGTACCCAGGGGCAGCAGGATACCCTGCCCCAGGGGGCTATCCTGCACCTGGAGGCTACCCTGGAGCTCCCCAGGCTGGAGGAATGCCACCTTATCCTGGAGGTAAGATCCTTTGTTAGCGTACCCCTCGGGAGTGATTTCTGGCGTAACCATTCCCTGCGCTTGGTAGTAGTAAAGAAAAGCAGCTTTGTTCAGCCATCAGTTTAGGCAGCAGCATGTAGGCTGCCAGCCAGATTGCTATCTCACAGTGAATACCTGCATGCTGATGGCAGGGCCTTGATGGTTTTGGGCCACTGCACAGACACAGAGAAATTAGTCTCTTGCATAGCTGTGCTCAATAACCTGGCTCATGTTGTGTCAGAAGTCAAGTACAAAACATGAAGCATGCTAAAGTCTTTCTTCTTCTCCTAGCTCCTACAGGCCCTGGGTTTGGTGTGCCTCCTGCTGGCCCTGCCTTTGGTGGCTATCCACAGCCTCCTGCCCAAAGCTATGCTGGAGGTGGACCAGCACAAATTCCAGGTATGTCATATGTAAGAAACTTTTAAGCATCTAAGGTTAAACCAAGAGATCCCAGGATAGGTAGGAACAAATTAGGTCCTTACCTTTGTTACTTCTGGCTGTTGAGGTTTGTATGCTGTACACCTCCTACCACCTTTCTTGACAAGACCACTGAAGGGCTGATGAGAACCACCTCTGTAGGTGCTACATCCAAAAGGGATGGCTGTCAGCGATTAGTAGTCATGATGTAGTGGTTTAGGTGCTTCTCCTTCTTCAAATTGCAAGTATCTGATGAGAACTGTGAAATCCAGAGTCCACATTCAATGAATACCTAGCTGTTCCATTAATCTCAAAGATGGACGCATTTTTCAGATCCATGTGTTCATGGTGATCCCTGGCATAGCAGGGGAAGTGGAAAGGAGAATGCACACAATTGCTTAAAAATGGTGCAGTGTTTTTAATGCTTTGAGTGGTCAGTTACCCTCAAGACAATTTTTGTCCTGGAATGTGTCAGTTATGTTTGCAAGAAAGTCAGAGCAGCAAAACTTTATTTTTTTAATGATTGCTTTGTTAACTCCAATAGTAAGTAAGCTGCTGTTAAAATGATAACAATTGTACATATGTATAGTGGATAAAAATAAAATTCTAGTACAAAAAAAGTAGTTCTAGCTTTTGTACTCACTGTACTTTTGATCACAAAATCAGATTCCTTCAATTCTTTTTGAACCAATGAGTTCTTGATATTTATCATTTATATGCTAGACATTTTAACGTGTAATATGACTTTAAAAGAGAGCACAGGACACGCATTCTTCATTTGCTGGGGCCATCTTGGCTTTTGTCGAAAGATAGCAGTATTTAATAAGGAGAGATCCTTTCAGTTCCCACAGCACCAGTAAATTTCCTATTTTTAGAATTGCCTTGCTAGTGTGTGTACCAGAAGGCATCTGTGATCACTTCCCATTATTCCCAAGGGCAAGAAGTTCAGTTACTGATGATGATGGGTATCATTACTTAGGGACAGCTTTTGTGTAAGTGGTAGGTCTGTAAATGGCTTTATTTTCAGATTAGATAGCATTTACATAATGAAGAGGAGACCTAATTAATTTCTTTTATCTTGTTCTTTATTTTCAGTAGGATATTCTGGTGGACAAGCACCATCACCAATGCCTGGTCCGGTATGTGCTGCATCCTCTTCTATAATCAATCTTATGTGGCTTCTGTAGTTCTAATGTTTTTACAACTGGTTCCCAACAATTTACGTGTTCTGCATCAAAAGCTCCCAGCTACACTCAGAGTACAACCTGAACAAAATGGTGACGCTGCATCTGTGTATACTCGCTCGTCAAGTAGATCTTCATCCAAGCAGTTGGGTAAAAGCATCGCTTTGGCACTGGTGGGCCAAAGCTGTTCAACACAACTAAATGTCGCCCTGATTCTGTGTTAGATTGAGACTCCTTCTGAAGTACTGATTCCAAAGTTGTGATTCTAATTTGAATTTCTGTTGTGCAGGATGGCTAGTTAGATGTGACTCTTATTTTCAGCCTGCAGCAGTGGTTCAGTGTACCCAGGGCACAATTCAAGCTGCTCCAAACTTTGATGCTGGAAGGGACGCAGAAATTCTACGCAAAGCTATGAAGGGGTTTGGTAAGTAAGGAATGGAAGCTTAAATTTCTACTGAGCTGACTTCTGAACACCGTTTTGTCCTTCTCTTCAATTTTTCTTTAACCATACATTTTTTTCTGCCCAAGCTTTTCAAAAGTCACACTTTCAAGATGACTCGGGCAATTTAGTAGATTAAGTTACATAATGGTAGACTTAAATGGTAGTCATTTATTATGTAACTTGCCCACATGCAAGATTAAAGATTCATAGTCTTGGAGGGATTGTTATGAGTTCTTACATGAAATTGCCCTTCTGTTTCCAAGGAACTGATGAGCAGGCTATCATCAATGTTGTTGCTAACCGCTCCAATGATCAAAGGCAAAAAATCAAGGCAGCTTTCAAGACTATGTATGGCAAGGTATGTTCACTAGGCCTTTGAATCAGTAAACAAAACCAAACTTTCAGCTACTGCTTTAACTGCCTGATTGCATTTTAGTCCTGGGGAGTGGCTGGGGCATTTTTTAAATGCACTTATTTTGGTTAGATTCCTTGGCTACCAGGGGACATCTGGTATTTAACACGGTGTAGTCCCGATACCTGGCAGAAGCAGGGGTGGGGGAAGGTTGGGGGCTGGCTCTGTCCCTGACCAAACAAGAAGCTTCTCTGCTTTTGTAATGCTTGATAGATAGAGATCAAGCTTAAACTGTGCTTGTATTAGTGCCTGAAACTACTGAGTTTTTTATGCACACAAACCAGCACTGAAATCTGTTTTATCAAAGAAACAAACTGAGAAAGTGGTGGAGGATTGGTTTGTCAATAAAAAGCTGAGATAATTTAATTTCTTTCCTCTGTCATTTTTGCAACTTAAAGTGAAATTGCATAGTTGTGGCACTTTTCAGGACCTGACTAGGTCCTAATTAGTGAGGCGATAATGGAGAAGAGCTGAGCTGTCAAGGTTTTGGACAGAGGGAAGTTCTTTGTAAGAAATAAACCAAAGCTTTACAGGAAAAACAGCACAAAGGAAAAATCAGTCACAAAAATAAGTTCTAGTTTGACCTTTTTCCAGTATATAATCTACATGGCTAACACTCTCCAAAGCCCTTTTTGTGTTTATAATTGAACAGGATTTAATTAAAGATCTGAAGTCTGAGTTAAGTGGAAATGTGGAAGAGTTGATTCTAGCACTCTTCATGCCTAGCACCTACTACGATGCCTGGAGTTTACGTCATGCAATGAAGGTATGGTTTTCCTGTGAACAAAATGCTCATATAAGGCAAGAGAATACCTGATCCCTGCAATGCTGAAAAATCCTGTAGCAGCAAACAAATTTTGCGACTGTGGGGCCTAAAATTCTTTTCTGCTGCGTCCCCCAGTTCCAGCCAGTTTCTGCAGGGTCAGCCAGTTCAGAGCAGCTGTCCATCCAGCAGAGGGTGAAATGCTGCAGGACAGAACTTTGTTCTCTGCCACTCAGTCATAATTTTTGTTAGAACCTACGAAGGGCCAGGGTGCTGTTAAAACTGTAACCCCTGTTTAAAGTGAAGGTCCATACCTCTCCGTACTAGGAACAAACCATTGTTATTGAAAGATATTTTTTTTTTCCAAAAGGACAACAATGAAACAATATTTTCTTAAGGTCAGATGATGCATGTATCTGTTCAATTATTAAGACTGCATTAGAGATTAGGTGATCCAGTTGGTTTAAATTTTTAACTCAATTTTTTATTTTTTTTTAAATTTAAATTTTTAACTGGTACATCCAGTTTACCGGAATTTCTTGCTTGTTTGAGCTGCATCAGCTAGAAGGCAGCTGATACTGGAAATGAGTAACTTAACCCATGTATGAATGCAGACCTTCTAAAGAATATGGAGCTTAAATGACAGTCTGGCTTCAGTGGAGGCAACACCATCTTAAAAAAAAATTTATATTATAACATTACCTAGAAGCCTCACATCGATCCACTCCTATCTAATCCGTGCTTGAACAGAGATGACCATGCCAGTAAGATCTCTTTGTACACCAAACTCACAGTTAATTTTTATTCTGGGGAAAGGGCAGCATCTAGGAAAAGTTCCTGCCGGTGCTCCATGTTGAGAAAGCGGCCACGTTTGGAATAAACACACTTGTACGCAGACCAAAACAGAACTTACATGCGTATCTTTGGCTTTAATGATTATCCTAAGGCTCTACCCTCCTGCAGTATATTTCCAGATAAAGGTTGCCAAAGAATTTCCTTCCTAAACCATTCTCCAGTTAACGTTGGCTGATGTCACTGTTGTGGATGTATAGTTTTGGGGTATTTTTTTGAACTGGTGCAGAACTGCACGTTTGAGGAATCTTCGTTCCATTTAAGTATACAGAAGACTCAGTGCTTTCATGCTGCAAGTTCTTACAACGTAGATTGTATTAAGTTTTGAAGTAACAGATGACTGCTTGATTTCACACTTGAAGAAAACTGAATAGGTAATGCTTTGTAGTTATGCCCTCTTTTCCTCTGCCTACAGGGAGCAGGCACTCAGGAGAGAGTGCTGATTGAGATCCTTTGCACAAGGACAAACCAGGAAATACGAGAAATAGTGAACTGCTATAAATCAGAATTTGGAAGGGACATCGAACAAGACATCAGAGCAGACACTTCAGGACACTTTGAACGATTACTAATATCTATGTGCCAAGTGAGCTTTAATTTTATTTTTTTTGGTAAGATAATGGTGTACAGTCTGACTTCAATGCATGTAGTCATAATGGCTCCATAAGTAGCCTGTGTATGCTTAGCAAGAGTCAGGTTGTTAAGAAATTAGCCCTGGGCCATTAATTCTTTCCCT